GTATGCAACTCTGCTTGTTGTCTTTGCTACCTGTCACTTGTTCTTATGTCTAATTTTTCCATAAGTAGGATTGTGATATCTATGTATTAGGGTATTTTGGCACATTGGGTACCTACATGTTTGTTCAGAGTACATTTCATTAGCTAACCAACCTGTTCGATTCTGTTTTTTCTCTTTTCAGTTTACAGTCCATCAACACTCTCTGGTCTGGCAGTTCCACTCGGAGGATGGGCATTGTTGTATTCATTGTATCTAGGACTTCATTTCTTCCCCATTATATTTTCTGCCTTTTGTTCTGTTTGTTGCAGCTTGAAAGAGGAAATGATGCATGGGAAGGGAGTTTTATAGTACCTAACTTTTTTCTGATTGGTTGTTTTTTCTGTGCTGCTGTGGAGTTCTAGTAAAGAGAGACTTAAGCAAATACGAAGCCTCCTGTCATTAATAAAATTAAGATTATAGCAGGGGCGTTTTAGCCACGAGGCAAACAAGGCATTTGCCTTGGGCGGCATATTCCAGGGGGCGGCAAAAAAAGCCGCCCCCCCCCCCCCAAATGCCCAGGGCAAATGCCTTGTTAGCCTTGCGGCTGGCGAGGGAGCTCTTCCTCTGAGCGGTCTGCTCAGCTCCCTCGCGCGCCGCAGAGTGAGGCTGGGAGCCGTGTTGATGACGTCATCAACCCGGCTCCCAGCCTCACTCTGAGGTGCGCGAGGGAGCTGAGCAGACTGCAGACTGCTCAGAGGAAGAGCTCCCTCACCAGCCGCCTGCCAGTCAACGCCGCCTGCCCAGCAGCCACTGGACCTCAGGGAGATAGAGAGCCCCTTCCCCCCTGAAGCACTCCCAAAGGTAAGGAGGAGGGGGGGGGGGTTTAAAAAAAAAAGTGTTAATGTGAGTGAGTCAGTGTGTATGTCTGTTGTTTGTGTGTGTGTCTGTCTGTCTGTTAGTGTGTGTGTGTGTCAGTGAGTGTGTGTGTCTGCTAGTGTGTGTCTGTTAGTGAGTGTGTGCTTGCCAGTGAGTGTGTGTTTCAGTGAGTGTGTGTGTCTGTGAGTGAGTATGTTTGTTTGTGTCTGACTGTGTGTGTATGTTTGCCTGTGTGTGTCTGCTAGTGTGTGTGTCTGCTAGTGAGTGAGTGTGTGTCGGTCAGTGAGTGTGTGTTTCTGTTAGCTAGTTTATGTGTATCTGTCAGTGAATGTGTGTGTGTGTGTATTAAGAAGACGGGGCGAGGGGAAGGGATGGATGGGGGTCGCGCGCGGTTGGGGGGCGCCTGAGTTTTGTCCTGCCTAGGGCAGCACAAAACCAGGATACACCACTGGATTATAGGTACACTAAAGCAAGCATAGTCTACAATTAATCAAGCTAACATTGTTTTGGTGCCTGTAGTGTCCCTTTAAGTTTAATGTTTTAAACACCTCAGTTTGATTATATAGAAACATAGAATGTGACAGCAGATAAGAACCATTCGGCCCATCTAGTCTGCCCAATTTTCTAAATACTTTCATTAGTCCCTGGCCTTATCTTATAGCTAGGATAGCCTTATGCCTATCCCACGTATGCTTAAACTCCTTTACTGTGTAAATTGGCGTTTAAATGAAAGGGAACCATGGGCGTCCGCAGGGGGGGGCACTTGCCCCCCCCCCTGGATTTTTCAGCCTGTTCTGATATTTTTTGTGAGTTAAAATAAACTGCAATACCGGCGCCGGCCAGTAGGTGGCGCTGTGTATGGAGAGAGACAGGGATAGGAAGCTGCATCTTATCCCTGCTTCTCTCTGCTGATTGAAACCGCAGGGGAGCAACACATGCAGCCAGAGACAGCCTACAGATCAGGTAAGTGGGGGGAGGGTTTGAGATAGCCTATAGATTTGGGGGGGCAGCAGCCTATAGATTTTTTTGGGGGGAGGGGGCAGCAGCCTATAGATTTTTTTTGGGGGGGCAGCAGCCTATAGATTTTGGGGGGGCAGCAGCCTATAGATAAGGGAAGTGAGCATAGGCGTGCACAGCCTATTGCATTAGGGTGTGCACCCTAAAGCACAAACACGCCATGTGTATATGTATGTGTGTGTATGTATATATATATATATATATATATATACATACATACATACACACATATATATATATATATATATATATACACACATATACATATATACACATATACACATACATATTATATATATATATACATATATGTTATATATATATATACATATATGTTATATATATATATACATGTATACACACACACACTGCTGTGTGTGTGTGTGAGGGTGCTGTTAGTGTGCTGTGTGTGAGGGTGCTGTTTGTGAGGGAACTGGTAGTGTGCTGTGTCTGTGTGTGTGTGTGTGTGTGTGTGTGTGTGTGAGAGGGTGTTTGTGTGTGCGTGTTTGTTCGGGTCCTGTTAGTGTGCTGTTTGTGTGCGGGTGTTGTGTGTTTGTCAGGGTGCTGTTTGTGGGTGCTGTGCGGGTGTTGTGTGTGGGTTTTGTGTGTTTGTGAGGATGCTGTTAGTGTGCTGGGTGTGTGTGGGTGTTGTATGTGTGTGGGTGCTGTGTGTGCGAGGGTGATGTATGTGTGTAGGTGCTGTGTGTGTGTGTGCTGTATGTTTGGGTGGAAGTGGGGGCAGATTAGTTAATATCCCAGTCCTGCTGCCTTCCCTGGTGGTTCAGTGGAGAGTGAACTCTAGCCCGGGTTCTCTGCTGAACTTGCTGAACTTTGATCTCCCCACCGGCCCATGGAGGCTTAGACCAGAGCCGCCGCTCGGATAGCGTCGGCTCTGCATGAGCCGACCGGGGAGATCCAGAGATCTCCCCTGCCGGTCTCAATCCATTGGCGTGCCGCGGGGATTAGGGTGTGCCCAGGCACACCCGACACACCCCGTGCGCACGCCTATGGAAGTGAGGGATGGGGAGACAGCCTACATGAAGAGTCAGCAAGGAGCAGGAAGGTAAAGTAAGAAAAGGAGAAGGAACAGAAATGAGCAGGAAGGGACATCAAGGAGCAGAAAGGGGCAGCAAGGAGCACAAAAAGTAAAGTAGGAGAAGGAGCACAAAGGAACAGAAATGAACAGGAAGGGTCAGCAAGGAGCTGGAAGGTAAAGCAGCACAGAGGGTCAGAAATGAGCTGGAAGGGGCAGAAGGAGCACAAACATAAAGTAGGAGAATGAGCAGGAAGGGCCTGCAAGGAGCAGCAAGGAGCACAAAGGTAAAGTAGGAGAAAGAGCAGAAAGGGACAGCAAGGAGCACAAAGGTAAAGTAGAAAAGGGAACAGAAAGGGTCTGCAAGGAGCAGAAAGGGATCAGAATGAGAAAGGAGCAGAAGGGCGCAAAATAAGCAGAAAGGTAAAAGAGCAGAAGGGGCCAAGGATAGAAAACAGTGTCAGAAGAAAAAAAAAGACTGTCAAATGAAGGAGAGGAAAAGGAGATTGGAGCTGGAAGGACAAATGAAGTGAACCCTCCACTTTATTCTGGACACCACATCATAAGGCTTTGGTACCTGGGCCAGGAAGGGAAACACTGGACCTTCTCAGCTCCAAAGGTAAAAAAATATCGGTGTTAATGTGTTCACTTTTATTTACTGAGTGTCAGGAAGCACAGAGTGCTATTGGGTAGGGGTGTTGCTGATTGGCTAGAGCGGTCAGCTGGCACTCTAAGCCAATCAGTAGCTCCCCATTCATAAAAAAGTAAAAATATTTTATGAACCGGGAAGTAGCAATTGGCTTAGAGCGTCAACTGTCCACTCTAGCCAATCAGCGGCACCCATGCCTGATGTCAATCTGCACTTCCTGACACTCTGTTTCAGAAGCCAAATACCACTGAGCGACCTGGAGCTGGAGGAAGCCTTTGGGGTTAAACCATTTGAGAGCGATTTAACCCTTAAAGGAAAGCGAGCACCCAGGGGCTTCCTGGCATCATAGCATTTTCATTTAGGTGAAGTTGTTATGGTGACCAGAATGGTCCTTTAATTTGCTTAAAGGAACACTATAGTGTCAGGAATACAAACATATATTCCTGACACCATAGTTGTGAAAACGCTATTCACCCTGGCTTTATGTGATAATGGCTGTGCCCCTTCCCTTTCATGACACTGTCAAAAAGGTACCAAGCATGGATGTCATTACAATTATGCCCCCCCCTGGAAAAATTCCTGCGGACGCCCATGAAGGGAACTGTATTTTCTTCAATGAGACAATACAATAGATGCCCCCAGGCAGAAGTTGTTAATCCTTCGCCTGCAGCCTTCAGGTGATTGTCATTATTTGCCTTTGGCTGTGTGATGGGAATTGGATGGGGAGCTTTGTTTATCATGTGTGGGGTACAGCAGGAAGTCTGAAACCCTGGGCTCCTTCCTTGATATTTGGCCATACAGTACTTTATGCATTCATGGTTCAGATTAATAAACCAATGGTCAAAAAGTCTGACCAATTTACATTAATTCGTACCCATATACCGAATCTAATATTGACACATTTGTTAACCACTTAGCTGGTTAGCTGTGTCTTTACAACGTATATCTTGTGACCAAAAACAAAATAATTATTTAGTAAAGAAAAAAAATCCCTTTCGCTGAATAAGGGTTAGTCTGTGCACTTTAAATGAAGAGTAACATGTTGGTAGCTTTTATACTTATTTAGCGTAAACACACATACCAATATAAACTAGCATACACAGTGCATAAAAAAAAACATATAGCACTTTGACATGTGTTAGTAAATTGTTGCTACCTTAATACTTTTAAGACATTTCATATAAAAGTACATCATCTTTGTTCGAATATAATACTAGATAATTTTTCTGTTTTGTACAGGAATACTAGCAGTATATCGAGGTCAACATGGTTTGGGTACTAAGGTTCTGGAAATGTTGTCGAATACTGGCAATCATTTTGCCAGCTGGATTGCTTTTCATGTTTGTAATTGAAACCAGATTATTAAGCAGATGGCACAATACTAAAAATCACCTAAAAGTCAGTCATCACAAAATTCAACCAAAGTTGACCTTCATACATCCTCTAATGCCTCCATACCCGTACCCCTACAAGTTCACCATCAATCAAGAAGACAAATGCTCCAGCCAAAAACCCTTTCTTGTCATCCTAGTGATCAGCAGTTGTCACGATAAGGCAACTCGGACTGCCATTAGGGAAACGTGGGGAAACGAAAGTAACTATATCGGCTTTGAGGTGGTGACAGTTTTTCTGGTTGGAATTTCTGCTTTTAGATTCAAGTCTATTCAGTGGATGCTGGAAGAAGAGAGCGGAGCTTTTGGTGACATTATACAGCAGAATTTCCTTGATAGTTATTACAATTTGACCATCAAAACACTAATGGGCATGCAGTGGGTGGCAACATTTTGCCCAAATGCCAATTTTGTGATGAAAATAGACTCTGACATGTTTCTTAACGTGGATTATCTCATCCATCAACTCCTCCTTCCGGAGCTCCCAACCCGTACTAACTATTTTTCTGGGGATGTATGCACGGATGGAGAACCTATAAGGGATAAAAAGTACAAATGGTATGTACCGGTAGAAGTCTACCCAAATAAAACATACCCACCATATTGCATTGGCACTGGATATGTCTTCTCAGCAGATCTGGCAAAGAAGATATACGAAGTAGCACAAGTTACAACAGTCATGCCAATGGAAGATGTCTTTATGGGGATCTGCTTGCAAAAGTTAAACGTCCCACTGACTCAACCTCCAGGGCATGTTTTTAACAGATACAATTACTATGATCGCTGTATATTCCATAAACTTGTTGCCATTCACATAGGTGGAAAATATCAACTTCAAAAAGTGTGGCAAGATTTTTGGTCTAAGAAGTCACTGGGTTGTAAGAACTGAAACATTTCTCGTATATGTGGTCTATGTGAATGCCGATAATAGTAATAGTAATAATACTACCACGAATATTTTGTGATGATATATTGTGAGAGGCAAAATGCTATAATATAAATATTTCTATACGACTGATGGACCAAGTATGTTCCAATGAGGATAATAATAAAATCTGGATGCATGTTGATTGCGGAGAAGAATATGTTTGTGGAAAGTTTGGTTGCAAAAGGAATTTAAATGCAATTATATTTTTTATATGAATACAAAATAGTGGCACTTCATAAATAACACAATAACGCCGTTCATTGCGCTTGTCAAATTGCTAAAACTGTATATATAATGACATAAGGAATACTAAAAAAAAAAAAAGATAATATAATTTTATACCTCTATGTTGCAGACGTGCCGTCTAGGATTTATCAGATTAGCTGATCTCTTTATGATTAAGCAAATGATTAACAAAGTCATTCATGAACCTTCATACTATGAATAAAGTCCTAGAAATTGTCAGATTTATACGGTCTATATATTTCAGGAAAAAAAATGTGTTTCCTTTTGAATTCACACATTATTTTCATTATATTTTATTCTTGATTCTGATGACAAAAAAATTAAGTTTATATATGGCGAAGCATGCAAATTCAAAAGGCCCATAGGCCCTGTGGTATGCTGGTTTAGGTTGTGTTGTTGTGAGTCCCTGTATGTTTCCCCATATGATTTGGTCCTATGTATTAGATTGAATGTATTGATTGTCCAAATTGTATGTGCCTTTCCCCCTCCCCATTTTTAGTGTCGTATTGTTTTCTCAGTAGGATGTTGTCCCATTGTTCCAGGGACACTTCCAGACCAGTTCAAACTAGCTGCCCTGTCACTATGTGGTTTTCAGCCCTTGTTATTGTCTGTCCCCACCTTTGTTTCTACCACAGTACACAATTCACAGTAATGTAATTAAGCTTTGTCATGTCATTGGTTACCAGTCCAAGTCCATGCTGCTATTGGCTGGCTTGGGATATGCAGTGTAATTTTATGGCAAGACAGGAGGCTTCATATTTGCTTATCTTGTTTTACTGTAACTCCCAGCAGCAAAGAAACAATTAACAATGTTGTATGAAAAATTCTACCAATCATAACACATCTTAGCTACAATATAGTGTCATCAGACTCCTCCCACTTTCTCTTTCTTTGCTGCTTGCCTCCCAGGTGAGTCTACTCCGATTGCATTGCCTTTCTAATTTAGGTTTATATATCTTTTATTTGTATCTTGTAATCTACTTCATCTCAGGAAACTTGTTTGTATTTAATGTCCTTTGTTTTACTATTCATATTTTCCTTTTTTCTCATTATCTATATATTTATAAGTTGGTTTTGTCTCTTTCATTTTTAGCACTTGTGTTTTATTCTTTTCCTTAACCTGTTGTTTTTTTTCTTTTATGAGCTGGGTTTTCCCCTTTAAATTTGCCGCCACTCCGTTTGCATAGACGGAACGCTCTGGTAATTCGCGCTGTATTTTTCATTCAGCTGGCCGCGGCTCTCCTCAGAGGTAGAGCCGCGGCCCATTCTTATCGTTCACATCAGCCGCGGACTCCATTTCCCATGAGCCCGCGGCTGCCGTTTTCCCGCCTTCTTTTCCTCCCGCCCATTCACGTCTACCTTCACACATTTTTTTCCCACCCTTTTATCAGCGGCGATCTCGCGGCGGCCATCTTTCGCAGCCTCAGTGTTCCTCCAACGGATCCTGTCACCGTTAGCAAGCACATAGGAGTTTCTTCAAATTGAACTATCTCTTGCTTGGCTTGTGACAGGTAGGTTTACTGCCTGCTGCCTCCATCTCATTTTTTTATGCGCATCTATTTTACACACGATCAGTATACTGATCTCTCTCTCATCTGCTTCTTGCAGGTTTGCTCTACAGGACCAGTCTGCTGTTTTTTGGGTGAACCCCTCTCCCTGTTTATTGCTTGATTATTAGTGTGGTTGATTTTGCATTTTAATATATTTTGACAAACCTTGTGTGGCTGAACGTTTTTTTCACTGTTGTGGGTGAACCCCACTTGCATATTATATACTCAAACTGTGTGCATAACACACTACTGTGTGAAATACCTGTGTGGCTGACACCACCTACAGAACACACTACTGTGTGAAATAGCTGTGTGGCTGACCCCCACCTGATTTATTTTGTGGGTGACCCCCATTTCTCTCTGTACATATTTATATATATATATATATATATATATTTTATAATTGTTTTCCTAGTGGGTGATCCCCACCTCATTGACTGTACAATATCTTCATATTGTCCCCAACTGCCCAATAGGGTGACCCCCTATTAATTGCTTCTTCAATCATACTTTGCTGTGCCAAGCATTTGTGGGTGAACCCCACTGTTTTTTGACGTCTCGTGGGTGACCCCCATCTTTCATATATTGTAATTGAGTGGCCTCATCTTAATTTGAAAACCCTATATTTTCTAAGAAACACATTATGTCAGACCGCCAAGACCCTGCCATCTCTGCCGAACTTAAGGAATGGCTTTTCTCCACTATAGCAGAATCCATTCCTAAGGCTCTGGCAGCCTACCATAAACGTGCCACAGAGGTACACCCCTCTACACAACAACCCTCTGACTCTAAGGATTCCCATGTCTCCGACCAAGACAGCACCCCGCGCAAGAGACCCTGGAAAGGGAATAGCGCTACTGCGGGCAAAGGCAAAGCTCCTGCAAAGGTCATTAAACACTCTAACCCATACATTACGCAGGATGCTGCAGACCCTCTAGAGGGTTCTACTTCACGTTTGTCTGGCCATATTTCAAGTGACTATGACCCCAATTACTCTGATGAGGATCCCATGGTGAATGCGCCCCAGGATTCCTCAACATCGGAGTTCGTGAAAGAAACCTTTCTAGGTCAGGATCTCAAGAGTAAGGTGCCTGACTCAGACACCCTCCTGGATGCCTCAGGCCTTCCCCTTTTTGACCCAAGGGTGATTCGTCATCCGCGTTCAGCAGAATGGGCTCCCCCAGACCATATTGCTAATTTCTGTAAACTGTGGCTTCACAAGCCCCTCGAAAAAGAAATAAGAAACAAACTAAGGGCTGAATGCCGAGACCTACTATTCCAGGCAAAGTTGCCTCTACCCCTGAATTCGACCCCATGCTGGTCACCTATTTGACGAAGTCTGGTAAAGACCATCGTAAGGGTATTGAGCAGGGTTTGAAAGCGACCCAAGACAAACTATTAGACATTTCAGGTCCTATCATTCAAATATTTATACTCGCAGATGAGGCACTCACCAGCGGTGAACTTGATCCGCACATTATTAGAGAATGGGCGCAGAGAGCCCTATGCTTACTGGGTAACGCCAATGTGGCTATTTCGATTGAGAGACGCAAAGCGGCACTTTATAAAATCGATGCCAAATTAGTAGACTTGAGTACTAAAGAACTAGGCCCAGAGGCCGATGGTCTTCTATTTGGTAACAGTTTCATGCGAGACCTCTCCAAGCATGTCTCGGTTTTTACCACACTCAATAAAGCCCAGTCCTCCCTACGTAGGGTGTTCCGCTCCAATACTCAAAATCATTTTTCTGGGAGAGCTGGTCGCTCCAGGGGCCGAGCTACCAGTACAGCAGCCTTTACAGGCTACAGGCCCCGACCCACAGATTATTGGTCCACAGGATATACACGACCCTACCACAGACAGCTGTTCAGCACCAGAGGCTCGATACGAGGACGTGGCTCTGCATCCCTGCACGGACGCACTGCTTCAGATAATGGACCTTGCTTATTTGAAAAATGTATCAATCGCAGGTCGATTAACATTCTTTTTCCAACAGTGGAAGCTTCTTTCTCAGGATCTTTGGATCCTTCATACAGTCAAAGGTTTCAAAATAGATTTTTTCACACACCCAGTACAATACTCTCCTCCGACATCCTTAGAGATGTCAAAAGCAGGCACTCTAACCTTGAACACAGAACTAACCAAATTGGTACACAAAGGGGCGATCGAACCTTCGCCTTTCCCTTGCACCTTCCTCAGCAACATATTTCTCGTTCGGAAAAAGACGGGAGATCACCGTCCCATTATCAACCTCAAGGCATTGAATCGCTTTATCACATACCGTCATTTCAAGATGGAAGATATCCATCTTCTCAGAGACTTGCTCTGCGTGGGAGACTGGTTCTCCAGATTCGACCTCAAAGATGCTTATCTGACGGTCCCTATCGCACCAAGTCACCGTGCCTTCCTCCAATTCCGGTGGTAAGGCGACATTTGGCAGTTCACCTGCCTCCCTTTCGGACTTTGCTCCGCCCCTTGGTGTTTCACCAAGTTAATGAAACCGGTCATGGCGCTCCTTCGTTCTCAGGGCATACGTTCCATTATATATTTGGACGATATCCTGATTATGGCCCAAGACCAGCAACTACCATCTCAGATAGTCCAGTTTCTGGGTTTCCAAATAGATTCAGTTCAGGCAACTCTACAGTTGCCCTACTCCAAAATAAAAAATATAAAAAGAAAGATTCAAAAATTACTCAGTTCACAACGACCTTGGCTCCGCGACCTAGCACACATTCTGGGTCTCCTCTCTGCATCAATTCAGGCTATTTTTCCAGGGCCCTTACACTACAGAGCTATGCAACGGCTGAAAACCTCCTACTTACATCGCTCGACCTCTTACGATCAATTAATTTCCCTAACGGACGAAGTTCTCATCGAACTTCACTGGTGGCTTCGCAATATGGAGGCCTGGAATGGGAAAGCGATTTTTTTCGGATCTCAACCAGATTTTATTCTGGAATCCGATGCCAGCCTCTTAGGTTGGGGTGCTACTTGCGCCCAAACATACACAGGGGGTCTCTGGTCCCCATCAGAACAGGCACTTCATATAAATTGTCTCAAGCTCATTGCCGGATCCTTCGCGATCCGCAGCTTTGCCAAAGAAGTCTCCAACTGCTCTCTGGTGCTTCGGATGGACAATGTCTCTGCGGTACGATATGTAAA